CGTCGTACGTGTCCAATGCCCCTACGACTACGTGGGTGGAGTATGTTTTGTTGGGGTTTTCTTTTAGTTTTGAAAAGTTGGCAGCTATGAACGTTTCAGGAAAAACTAAAAGGTGGCGATATTGGATAATAAAACTTCCGCCGACACAGGAATCAGGCTTACGTCTTTCTTCTGCGTGTGACGGCGAGGTAGGCCTACGTGAACAATGCCCCTGCGTGGGTGAAGTATGCTTTTTTTTTTAATAAGTTTTTTTTTTTCTTTGAAAAGTTGGCAGCTAGCTACATATGAACGTTCTGGGAGAAAGGCGGCGATACTTGGTAAAACTAAAACTTCTGGCCACTTAGGAATCGGGCCCGTCTTTTCTTTTTTTTTTTTTTGGGGGGGGGGGGGGGTAAGTGTTTTACGGCGCTCGCAACTGCGTAAGGGCATATATAACTATGAGCACCCGGGACACATGAGACATTTTCTGTAGGTAGGAAATTTTGAATTTTGCCCGGGTGGCGACCAAAGCCTAGGAGGTCTACGCATCGATTTGGACCACCAAGGGATCGTTAACGTGCGCAACTTGCTCACGGGACCTCCGAGATTGTTCGCCCTTGTCCGAGAAGGCTGGGTGTAGATCTAGATATTTCCTACCAAGATCAGTGATGTGGATTTTTAAAAAAAGACAGCAGCAAGAAGGAGCCAAGGAGAAGCAACAAAAGTAGAAAGGCTGCAGAAAGAGCCAGGGTCCCAGAGGAGGGGGCAAAGGAGGTGAGGGGGTTGGGAGGGGGGGGGGCAGAAAGAAAAGGCGAAAGCAGACGACAGAACATTGCTAGAGAGAAGGAATTGAGGTGAAACTGAAAGGAGACAATTTTAGAGAAATGAAAGTGCTCCGTCGCTTTCAAGATTCGAACCCGGGACCTATTGAATGAGAGGCAAACACCTTTAAACATCTAGGCCAGGAGAGCCCCTGGCCCACGTCTTGTGCGTGTGACACAAGGGGCTCCTACTCCTTGGTGTGGTTGTGAATCACCTCTCCGCTACTTCACAGACACTGGTTTAATGTTTGGTGATTAGAGTTTGACGGCGCTTGCCACACAATTAGGACATTATAGATCTATTAGTGCTGAGGGTGCTGTGTAGTAGTATAAAGGTGCGTGTAATTTAATATAAAGAAAAGGAGAGATACTTAAACCACTTAAGAATTTATAAATTTTTTAAACTACTAGATCTATTTTATATGTTTGATTGATAGGAAAGAAGGGGCAAACCACACGAAAGCACATGTCAACCATCCGCCGAGACATTTGTTTGGTTATTTATGGAATATATATATAATCTAAAAATAAAAAAATACTGTCGAAATTGTCTAAGACGGCCATACATTGTCGAGGAAAACATGGTTGCCATAGACTTAGACAGGTGGTCGTCTTACACAGCGGCATTCATGTTTAAGAAAAACGTAAGGGAGAAAGTTGGAAGTGGTCGTTTCTACAGGTGGTTGTTTTTATTTGTGGCCCTTAGAATTACATGTAGATAGCTGAGTCAACGGAAATCTAAGCGTATGCTATTATTGCTATTTAGAGTGAGGCGAACAACAGAACATGGTTA